AATTTTAGGATTGTTTGTTCTAGCTCTGTGAAGAATGCTGGTGTTATTTTGATAGAACGTGCATTGACTATGTAGATTGCTTTGGGTAGTATTGACATTTTAACAATGTTTGTTCTTCCAATCCAGGAGTATGGAATATTTTTCCATTTTTTTGGTCTTCAATTTCTTTCATAAACTTTCTATAGTTTTCAGTGTATAGATTTTTCACATCTTTGGTTAGGTTTCTTTTTTTTTTTTTAATATTTTTATTTATTTCTAGGAGAGAGAGAGAGACAGCGTGAGCAGGGGAGGGTCAGAGAGAGAGGAGTCACAGACTGAAACAGGCTCCAGGCTCTGAGCTGGCAGTCAGCACAGAGCCCGACGCGGGGCTCGAACCCACGAGCCGCGAGATCATGACCTAAGCGAAAGTCGGACGCTTAACCGACTAAGCCACCCAGGCGCCCCTTTGGTTAGGTTTCTATGTAGGCATTTTATGATGGTTTTTGGTGCAAATGTAAATGGGACCAATTCCTTGATTTCTCTTTCTGTTACTTCATTATTAGTATATAAGAATGCAATCAATTTCTGTACATTGATTTTATATCCGGCAACTTTGCTTAATTCATGGATCAATTCTAGCAGGCTTTTTGGAGAATCTTTTGGTTTTCAGTATAGAGTATCATTTCATTTGTGAAGAGTGAAAGTTTGGCTTCCTCCTTGCCAATTTGGATGCCTTTTATTCCTTTGTGTTGTCTGATTGCTGAGCCTAGACTTTGAATACTATGTTGAATAACAGTGGTGAGCGTGGGCATCCCTGTTATGTTCCTGACCTTAGGGGGAAAGCTCTCAGTTTTTCCCCATTGAGGATGATATTAGTGGTGAGTCTTTCATATATGGCTTTTATGATCATGAGGCACGATCCTTCTTTCCCTACTTTCCTGAGGGTGTTAATAAAGAAAGGATGCTGTATTTTGTCAAATGCTTTCTCTGCCTCTATTGAGAGGATCATGTGGTTCTTGTCCTTTCTACTATTGATGTGATGTATCACATTGATTGATTTGTGGATATTGAACCTGCCTCCCAGGTATAAATCCCACTTGGTCATGGTGTGGCTAGTATCTTGTTGAGGATTTTTGCATCTATGTTCATCAGGGAAATTGGTCTGTAGTTCCCTTTTTAATACCATCTTTGTCTGGTTTTGGAATCAAGGTAATAGTGATTTCATAGAATGAGTTTGGAATTTTCCTTCCATGCGTATTTTTTGGAACAGCTTCAAAAGAATCGGTGTTAACTCCTCTTTAAATGTCTGTTAGAATTCCCCTAGAAAGTGATTCAGCCCTGGACTCTTGTTTTTTGGGAGATTTTTAAAATTACTAATTTGATTTTTTTTGCTGGTTATGGGTCTGTTCAAATTTTCTATTTTTTCTTATTTCAGTTTTGGTAGTTTATATATTTCTAGGAATTTGTCCATGTCTTCCATATTGCCCATTTTATCGGCATATAATTGCTCATAATGTTCTCTTATTATTGTTTGTATTTCTGCTATGTTGGTTGTGATCTCTCCTCTTTCATTCTTGATTTTATTTATTTGGGTCCTTTCCTTTTCTTTTTGACCAAACTAGCTAGGAGTTTATCAATTTTGTTTATTCTTACAAATAATCAGCTCTTAGTTTCATTGATCTGTTCTATTTTGTTTGTTCGTTTGTTTCAATAGTACTGATTTCTGCTCTAAAATTTATTTTTTCTGTCTTCCACTCGTTTTGGGTTTTATTTGCTGTTCTTTTTCCATCTCCTTAAGGTGTAAGGTTAGGTTGTGTATCTGAGACCTTTCTTGCTTCCAGGAAGCCCTGGGTTGCTATATAATTCTTTCTTATGACCACTTTTGCTGTGTCCCAGAGGTTTTGGGCTGTGGTGTTATCATTTTCATTGGCTTCCATGTACTTTTTAATTTTCTCTTTAACTTCCTGGTTAGCCCATTCATTCTTTAGAAGGATGTTCTTTAGTCTCCAAGTATTTGTTATCTTTCCACATTTTTTCTTGTGGTTGATTTTGAGTTTCATAGTGTTGTGGTCTGAAACTATGCACGATATGATCTTGATCTTTTGTACTTGTTGAGGGCTTATTTGTGTCCACTATGTGATCTCTTCTGGAGAATGTTCCATGTGCACTGGAGAAGAATGTGTATTCTGCTGCTTTAGGATGAAATGTTCTCTGTTAAGTCCACCAGTCCAGTATTTCATTCAAAGCCACTGTTTCCGTGTTGATTTTCTGTTTAGATGATCTGTCCATTGCTGTTAGTGGGATATTGAAGTCCCCTAATATTATGGCATTATTATCAATGAGTTTCTTTATGTTTGTGATTAACTGATTTATATATTTGGGTGCTTTCACGTTTGGATCATAGATGTTTACAATTGTTAGATCTTCTTGGTGGACAGATCACTTAATTATAATATAATGCCCTGCTTGATCTCTTGTTACAGTCTTTATTTTAAAATCTTAACTGTCTCTGATATAAGTATGGCTACTCCAACTCTCTTTTGGCGACCATTAGCATGACAGATGGTTCTCCACTCTCTTACTTCCAATCTGAAGGTGACTTTAGGTCTAAAATGGGTCTCTTGTAAACAGCATATAGACGAGTATTGTTTTGTTACCCATTCTGTTACTCTATGTCTTTTGATTGGAGCATTTAGAGTGGGTACTGAAAGATATTAATTTATTGCCATGATGTTGCCTGTAGAATTGGAGTTTCTGGTGGTGTTCTCTGGTCCTTCCTAGTCTTTGTTTCTTTTGATCTTTTTGTTTTGTTTTGCTTTGCTTTGCTTTTTTCCGTTTTCTTCTCCCCTCAGGGAGTCCCCCTTAAAATTTCTTGCAAGGCTGGGTTAGTGCTTAGGAACTCCTTTAACTTTTTTTTTTCCTGGGAAATTTTTGATCTCTCCTTCTATTTTTAATGACAGCCTTGCTATATAAAGAATTTTTGGCTGCATATTTTTCTGATTCAGCACATTGAATATATCCTGCCCCTCGTTTCTGGCCTGCCAAATTTCTGTGGATAGGTCTGCTGCAAACCTGATCTATCTTCCCTTTGGGAAGTTAGCTGACATTTGGAGACAAGCAAATAATACTTGTTATACTGTATCAGAAAGTTATACTGATAGTAATCGGGAAATAAAAATCTGAATTTCAACCTTAAAATGGAAATTTTTAGCGGGGAGGGAGAGGAAATAAGTAAAGCTATATTAAGTTTCTTGTTCTCTTTGGGGAAGGACATAAATATTAATTAACCCTAATGTATTCATGCATATGTAAGAATAATTAGGAAACATAGTAACAGGACGAAGAATTTACTAGTCACTGTAGGAAAATAGTAGCAGAAATGACTATTATCCTAAATTTATTTTGGCTATAACTATAGGCAATTTCTCATTTTTCTAATGAAAAAGATGAATAATATGTCAACTACAATATAACAGCTTTTCAATATGTATATGAAACAGTCAAATGCCTACTTGCAATATTTACTTATATTTAAATATACTTATTTAAAATCATGTATTGTAAAACTAGCATCAGTTTAGAGATGAGCTTTTTTATTCACATTTCATGAAATAAATATAATTTTTCATATACATCTTTTTTGAGATATAATTGACATTGTAAGTTTGAAGTGCATTTCATGTACATCTTTGATCTCAGTGTTGTGTGTTCCATGCAACTGCTTTTAAAGTCTTTTCATTTAATTTCAGAGCAAAATATTCAGAGAAAATTCCATCATCTTTATTTCTGCCTAAGATGTTGGAGAATAGTGTAGTTTGAATTCAGTTCTGATATATGGAAATTTTATCCAACCACAAGTACATATTTATATGTTAAAATATATATGTTAAGATATTTAGAGATATGTTTAAAATTAGTTTTTCATTGATATCTGAAATATGCTTTATAAGATCACATTCCTAAGAATAACCAATAAATGTCTGTACATTGTTTTTCTTTTTTCTTTTAGTGATTTGGCCAGTTTGAATTCTACACATATCTCTTTATATGTTATTAAATAATTGACAGAGCATTCAGGAACATGAGAGGCTTTGTAAAGAGTTTAGTAAGGGTAATTAATAAGGGTAATTAATAAGTGGTAATTACCCTTTTCTGAGGGTTAATTTTCTAAGGGATGATTTAGGGAAAATGCTTCCCCTTATTTTTGAGCACATATAGTCTATCTATGTAGCAATAAAGAAGATAAAACAAACAAAACTAGAAAACATAGCAAACAAAAACCATAATATGGCAGTAATGTAATAATTTAAATAAATATTCATGAGTTAAATTCTTCTTATTAAAAGAGATTTTCAGAAATTAAGGTTAAAAAAGAACATCTAGTAATATGCTATTTATTAAAATTGTGACAATGAAAGTTTCCACAGCCAGGTTGGAAACAGGATATTGTATTAAAAATGGGTTAGGGGCCCCTGGGTGGCTTAGTCGGTTAAGCGTCCGACTTTCGCTTAGGTCATGATCTCGTGGTTCGTGGGTTCGAGCCCCGTGTCGGGCTCTGTGCTGACTGCCAGCTCAGAGCCTGGAGCCTGTTTCAGTCTGTGACTCCCTCTCTCTCTGACCCTCCCCTGCTCATGCTGTCTCTCTCTCTCTCTCCTAGAAATAAAATAAAAAAAAAAAACAGTAAAAAATAAAAAATAAAAATGGGTTAAAGATGGCCCTTGTGTATTGGCCCCTGTTTGTATTTTTCCATGGCGAGCTTAGACTAGTTAGTCCAAAATCTGTTGGCATCTACTTCTGTACTGAATTCCCTATTTTTTCGATCTGTGTCTTGGTTTACTCACTGGTTTGTTGGAGAACATTTTCATTTATTTTTTGTTTATTTATTTAGCACACAAGAACGAGTGGTAGAGAGGCAGAGAGAGACAGGAGAGAGAATCCCAACGCTCCATGCTGCAAGTGCAGAGCCCCATGCAGGGCTCAGTCCCATGAACCATGAGATCATGACCTGAGCAGAGATCAAGAGTAAGACATTCAGCCTACTGAGCCACCCAGGTACCCCTGAACAACATGTTCCAGAAGTTTCTCAGCAAGGAATGCATGAAAGGTAAATTTTTTGAGATCTTACAGGTGTTAAGTTGTCCTTATCATGCTCTCACACTTAATTGATATTTGCCTGAGTAAAGAATCCTAGATTTGAAATTATTTACTTCAAAAGTATTATGGTATTTCTTTGTTGTATTTTAATTCCTGGTGCTCTGTGTTAACAAGTCTAATGCCGTTCTGATTCCAGATCCATTGTATGTAAAATACAATCTATTCATTTTGGAAGCTTTTTACAATCTTTTATTTTTAGTGTTCTCAGATTTCACAGTAATATGTCCTGGTGCAGGTCTTTTGTTCATTCACAGTACCATAGTCAGTAGAACCTCTCAGTCTGATAATTCATGAATTCAGGTCTGGAAATTTTCCCAAAATATTTTTTTTACATGATCTTTACATTTTCTCCTTTTTTCTTCTTTTCAGTTTTCTAAAAGTTGTGACTGGATTCAAATATATTGACAAGAATAAATAATAACAAACTCCATGTACACAACACCTACCTTCTTCCACTTTTAACACAATACCCAATTTGTCTTAGATAGGTATTTTATTTTTAAAATAAGTGTACATTATAGATGCAGGTGAGCTCCTCTCTGCATTTCTGCCTTCCATCCCCTTAACTCCCTCCCAACATATATTCACTGTTTAACATTCTAGTTTTGATATGTATTCATTTTGCCATAAGTAGTTGTGTTTTGTGGGTTTTTAACAACTATCTAAATGAAACTGGACTGCAACTTTCTTTCACACTTGATTTTTCATTCACCATTATATTTTTGAAATGTTTAAACTTTTCTATCTATATGTTGTTCATTCATTCGTTTTTTAAAATTTTATTTATTTATTTTTGAGGGAGAGACAGAAGTGCACAAGCAGGTGAGGTATGGGGCAGAGAGACAGAGGGAGAGAGAGAGAATCCCAAGTGGATCTGGATCTCCTGAATGGTGAGATCATGACCCAAGACAAATTCACGATTTGACTACTTAACAGATTGAGCCACGCAGGCACCCAGTTCATTCATTTTAAATACAGTAGAATATTTCATTATATTAATACACCAATATGTAGTTACCCTGTTAATCCGTTTTCCTGATGGTGTACATTTAACACACATACACTCTCCTTTTTTTTTTTTTTTTTTTGCTAGAGTATATGTATGTATAGAAGAGAATACAGAGAATATACACAGGAGAGAACATACATAGGAGAAAAAGATCTAGGTCAAAATTATGCTTCTAATATTTGCCATCTGTAGAATAGTATTACTTTACATCTTCTTCAGATAGCATAAATCTTTCGCCTTTTACTACATGTGGAATAATACACTCTAACATCATAAGTTTATCTATGTTACTGGCAATAGACATTAAATTATGCTTCAGTTTTGGACCACACAAACAATCTGCTGTGAATCTTCTTTATATCTGAGAATTTCTCTAGAACATATACCTAGAAATTAAATTTTAGAGTATTAATACCTTCAACATTAATAATATTGCCAAATTGTTCTCAAAAGGTGTATCAACTGGCACTCCCATTAGCTGCATGTAAGAGTTACAATTATTCCATATCTCAAGCAACACTTGATTCTTTCGGTTATTAATTTTTACCATCTAATGTGTGTAAAATGATACTGTTTACTAAATCATGTAAGTTGATTTTACAAAGAATTTTTTTTTACAAAAAAATTTGGAACATCCTTCCATATTTTTAAAGTTTTGATTTTCACATTTAGGACCTGAATCTATCTGGGCAGATTTTGTGTGGTGTGTGTGTGTGGTAAAATGTAGAGATACAATTTTATATATTTTACATGCGGATTGTTCTAGTAGTACTTATGAAAAAGCCTATGTAAGTTTCCTACTGATCTGCAAGTCATTTTAATCATATAAACTGTTTTAAATGTTTATTTCTTTTGGGAGAGAGAGAAAGGGCACGCGCGAGCCGGGGAAGGCAGAGAGCTAGGGAGACACAGAATCCAAGCAGGCTCCAGGCTCTGAGCTGTCCGCACAGAACCTAATGTAGGGCTCAAACTCATGAACCCCAAGATCATGACCTGAACCGAAGTCGGACACATAACCAACCGAGTCACCCAGGTGCCCCTCCATTCACAGCCAATTATATTTGAAGAGTAAATTCTCAAAAGTGAGCTTGTTGAGTCAAAGGATGTATGCACTTATATTTACAATTTATCAGTTTATCTGTCTGTCATCTGCCAATTTTCAATAATAGTAATTGTACAAGTTTACACTAGGATGATAATATCTTGTGTGTCCTCTTGACCATTGTCGCACTAACAGAGAGTACATAATTTCATGATTTTAAAAGACACTGCAGACATTTCACTGCGATTTTAATTTGCTTTACTTTTTATAAGTGATACTGAGTATTCATGTGTTTAGGAGTCATTTGCATTTTCTTTTCTTTGAATTACCCACTAATATCTTTGCCGTTTTTCTAGTAGGTGTTAGTCTCTTCCTTATCTGCTTCTAGAAGCTCTTTACCTTAGCTTTTTGTCTTTGATGAGTTGCAAATATTTTGCATTTTTGATAATCCTTTTGATATCTTTGACATGTAGAAGTTGTTTTTATTTTATTTTATTTTAATTTTTAAAAAGCTTATTTATTTTAAGAGAGAGAGAGGGAGAGTGTGCGAGTTGGGAAGGGGGAGAGAGAGGTGGAGAATCTCAAGCAGGCTCTGCACTGTCAGTCACCACTGAGCCTGACACGGGCATGAACTCATAAACTGTGAGATCATAATCTGAGCTGAAATTAAGAGTTGGACATTTAACTGACTGAGCCACTCAGGTGCCCCAGTGATTTTTACTTTTTTTCTTTTCTTTTCTTTCTTTCTTTTTTTTTTTTTTTAAAGAACTTACGTAGTTGAATATATAACTTTTCCTTTTATGGCTTCTGGATTTTGAAGATAAAGGAATTCTCTTATGTTTTGTCATTGTACACTTATTTCATCTTTTTTACATTTAAATCTTTGATTCACTTATTCTTTGTCATGGCAAAAGCTGTAAGTAATAGATTCCATTTCCGTTTTTCAAATAGATTCCTATGCCACTTATTAAAGAGCACATTTTCCCTTTTTATCATTTGCCATATTTTTACATTTACAGTAAACTCCTTCCTGTTTATAGTTGCTTGATTCCTAGAGTTTCTATTCTGTTCTTTGGTTTTGACGTTTTGCCAAATATCAGTGTTAAACAATTATTGCTGCTGTGCAATATTTTATTTTGTTTATTTTTATTTTTTTATTTTTTTAAGTAATGTCTACACAAAGCATGGGCTCGAACATGAAACCTTGAGATCAAGAGTCGCACGCCTTACTGACTGAGCCAGCCAGGGGCCCCAGTGCAATATTTTATTTATTTCTTTTTTAAAAATGTTTTATTTATTTCTGAGAGAGAGGCAGTGTGAGCAGGGGAGGGTCAGAGAGGGAGGGAGACACCGAATCGGACGCAGGCTCCAGGCTCTGGGCTAGCAGTCAGCACAGAGCCCGATGGGGGGCTTGAACCCATGAACCGTGAGATCATGACCTGAGCTGAAGTCCGACACTTAGCCGACTGAACTACCCAGACGCCTCCCCCCTCCATGCAATATTTTAAAAATGATACATCTGGGGAGCGCCTGGGTGGCTCAGTCGGTTAAGTGTCTGACTGCGGCTCAGGTCATGATCTCACAGTTCGTGGGTTTAAGCCCCATGGCGAGCTCTGTGCTGACAGCTAGCTCAGAGCCTGGAGCCTGTTTCCGATTCTGCATCTCACTCTCTGACACTCCCCTGCTCACGCTGTCTCTCTCTCTCTCTCTCAGAAAGAAAGAAAAAACATTAAAAACTTTTAAAAAATAAAAATGATACATCTGCTTCCCTCTTATTGACCTGCTTATTTGTGTATTTTCTCCTTGTAAATTTTTAGTACCTGTTTCTAGTTAAAAAAAAAAACTTGGTAATTTTGGGAACTACATTAAATTGATAAATTATTAAGGGAGAATTGACCATTTTTATGGAGCTGTATTTTTCATTCAAGTCTTTGTTTCCATCGGTTGTGGTTTAAAATTTTCTTCATATTTATCTTGGATAAATATATATTTATCTGTCATATATTTCTTTGGTGTTATGGCAAGTTATATTAGCAGATATTTTATTTATTTAGTTTTTTGGTCTTTTTAAAATTATTTTTTAAGTATAATTTATTGTCAAGTTGGCTAACATACAGTATATACAATGTTCCTTTGGTTTTTGGGGTAGATTCTTGTCATTCATCACTTACATACCACACCCAGTATGCATCCCAACAAGTGCCCTCCTCAATGGCCATCACCCATTTCTCCCTCCCCCAACCCTTCCTCCATCAACTCTCAGTTTGTTCTCTGTATTTAGGAGTCTCTTATGGTTTGCCTCCCTCTCTCTCTGTAACTATTTTCCCCCTTCCTCTCCCCCTGGTCTTCTGTTAAGTTTCTCAAGATCCACATATGAGTGAAAACATAGGATATCTGTCCTTGTCTGACTGACTTATTTCACTTAGCATAATACCCTCCGGTTCCATCCACATTGTTGCAAATGGCAGGATTTCATTCTTTCTCATTAGCAAGTAGTATTCAATTGTATATATAAACCACATCTTCTTTATCCATTCATCAGTTGATGGACATTTAGGCTCTTTCCATAATTTGGCTATTATTGAAAGTGCTGCTATAAACATTGGGGTACATGTGCCCCTATGAATCAGGCTCCTGTATCCCTTGGGTAAATTCCTAGTAGTGCTCTTGCTGGGTCATAGCACAGGTCTATTTTTAATCTTTTGAGGAACCTCTACACTGTTTTCCAGAGCAGCTGCACCAGTTTGCATTCCCATCAATAGTGCAAGAGAGGTCCCATTTCTCCACATCCTCGCCAGCATCTATTTTAGCCACTCTGACTGGTATGAGGTGGTATCTCAGTGTGGTTTTGATTTGTATTTCCCTGATGATGAGTGATGTTGAGCATTGTTTCATGTGA